AGGCAGTCCAAAGAAATGTATCCTGCTGTCTTTCATGGAAACACACTACTGTAAACTGTCTTACACTAATCAGCAAGTTGATCCTAGTCAGAGTACTGACCTCATTCAGTATCTAGCAAGGATGGATTTTTCCCATTTATGTGGAAATAAAAAGACTGAACCATGCAAATTTCAGCATATAAAATTTTATTCACATCATATTAATGTCTTTTCCTACATTTCAAAATAGCTTCAATATGGTATGAAAAAAGATAGGAGAATAACTGTTGGCAGAATCAGCTCCAGCTTCAAAAGCAAGGCAGAGAAGCCATCTGTTATCTATATCTCTGGGAGTGAAGACCACTGTATTTCAGAGGACTACTTTTGCAATGGCATGAATAAAACTCTATAGTGATTTCTTTAATAATTTAAAAATAGAAGTCAATATTCAGATCTCCTGAGAAGCCATGTGAAGGGATTACTTGCAACATAATAGATTCTGCAAAACTCAGGATCCCGTTTTTGAAACCCTAGTCCTGAGCATTTGGGATGTAATGGAGTCTTGAATTCATCCGTTTCTCTTATGAAAATCAGTTTGTGACCTACTTGAGAAGAGTTTCTTCTAAAACCTACGTGTTTTTTTGCATTGCATAGAAATTAAAAAAAAATAGTTTCCCAGTTCTGGACTGTTTTAGATTAAACTTTCTGTTGATAAAAGTTGCTTACCCTGATGTGAGTACTTTCTTCCCTCAGACATAAAGTATCAGTTTAGAAGACAAAAGAGAGATGGGAATATGGAAGTGGGAAAGAGGAGAAAAAGAAAGCAACTCCATAATATGATTTGATTGGTAACAGTGGGAGCCATTGGAAGCACTTTTGGAAACCTCTGTTATCTTGGGACTCTTTAATTGCCTATGATAGAGTTTTTAAAGACTGACAATTAGAAAATCATAAGGAAATAATCTGATTATCAAAAACTTGGTTCCTAGGATATATTCAATTTCCTTTTGAATTCCTATGTGTGAAGATTTCCACACACTTCAAAAAAAAAAAGGCATATTATCTATGCTCTATCTTCTGGAGCTACTCAGACAAAAGCCAAGGGGAGAAGAATGCTTTTCATGTATGTGTGAGACAGTAGATGATATAGTTGGATGATAGGTAGATAGGTCGGTAGGTAGGTAGAAAGAAGGAAGATAGATAGATAGATAGATAGATAGATAGATAGATAGATAGATAGATAGATAGACAGACAGACAGACAGACAGACAGACAGACAGACAGACCGACCGACAGACCGACCGACAGACAGACTAATTTAAGTTTGCACCTTACCAAGGGTGGCTTCCAAGGATTTGGAGAAGCTGAATTTAATAAGTATTTTGTTCTAAAGACAAATATTTAAATGTATTATGCCAATGCAAAACAAACATACAGCCTGGTGTACTTCCAAGAACTAATCTGTGGTGGCAGGGATAGAAAGCAAGATAATGTCATGACTATCAGCATGTTTAACCAGAGCTGCCATCCACTTTTTGATTTTACCCCACCACTCACAACCCTATGGATGCTCTTGGTGTTCTTGTTTAAAAAAATGATGTTTTTCCAGATTCTGAAAAAGAAAGAAAAAGGCAACAAAAAAGTTGTCTGGTAACACACAAATCATATCACAAACTGAGATTGTGAAATGGCAAAAACAAATTGCCAGTTCTGTTTGACTAGCTCAATTTGGCTCCCACATCTGCAGATTCTTCTTTATAGAAAAGTAAAGTCTGACTTAGGTCTTAAACAGCAGAACCCATTTATTGAAGCAGGGCTGGAGATTCGGTGAAAACAGTAGTTGAAAATAATAGGAAAAAGAATTATTCAGAGGAGGAATATTCCTGTCAATGAATGATAAACTAAGTTTAGATCATGTGTTGGATTTCTGTCATTCCCTCAGACACATTGGCTGCATGTTTCATAATTCCCAGCAAGGAATAATACATTGGGAAATAGCATGGCCATTTTAATCCAAACAGTCCGAGAGAATCAAGTAGAGGTAGCTGATCAATCCAAAGAACTATTTTTAGTAGAGGAGTAGTAGTAGTGGTGGTGGTAGTGGTGGTGGTGGTGATTAAGACACTGGTCTAATGATCACAGGCTTGCATTTGAGACCCAGTTGCTGGCGCAATGGCAGCGTGAGCTCGTCACTCGTTCCAGCTCTTGCCAGTCCAGCAGTTCAAAAGTGGGTGACCATGAGTAGATAGATGTATATCACTTCAGTGAGCAATTTAACGGGAACATGAAAGGAGCCCCCAACTGAACGACCTCCAGGCAATGGTGATATTACCGGTTAAGCCTTTCACCATGGAAGCGCTTCCGTGTATCCAACAAGGAAGTAAATAAGTAGTAGTAGTAACAGTAATGAACAAAAAATGCTTTCAAGTGTTCCAAGTTGCCTTCAGACTTCAGATGTGAGAATTTTGAAGGGAGCTTCAAGAGAGAGCTTTCAGCTGGGCCTTATTTTACAAAATAACAGAGTTGGAAGAAACCTTGGAGATTTTGTAGTCTAACTCTCTGTTCAAGCAGGAGACCTGTATCATTTCAGACAAGTGGCTGTCCAATCTCTTCTTAAAAACCTCCAGTAATGGAGCACTCACAGCTTCTGAAGGCAAGCCATTCCACTGATTAATTTTTCTGTCAGAAATTTCTCCTTATTTCTAAGTTGGATTTTTCCTTGATTAGCTTCCATCCATTGCTTCTTGTCCTGCCTTCAGATGCCTTGGAGACCAGGTTGACCCCCTCTTCTTTGTGGCAGTCCCTTAGATATTTGAACACTGCTATCACATCACACGTAGCCCTTCTTTTCATTAGACCAGATATACCCAATTCCTGCAACTGTTCTTCATATATTTTAGCCTCCAGTCCCCTAATCATCTTTGTTGCTGTTCTCTATACTCTTTCTAGAGTCTCAACATCTTTTTTATATCGTGGCAACCAAAATTGGATGCAATATTCCAAGTGTGGTCTTACAAGGCACTATAAAGTGATACTAACACTTTATGTGATCTTGATTCTATCCCTTGTTAATGCAGCCTTGGATTGTGTTAGCTTTTTTGGTGGTGCAACACACTGCTGGCTTATATTTAAATGATTGTTCACTAGGACTCCAGGCTCCCTCTCACAATTACAACCATTGATCCAGGTACCACCTATTCTATATCTGTACATTTGGCTGTTCTTGCCTATGTGTACAACCTTACATTTCTCACCACTGAATTTTATTTTGTTAGATAAGCCCAATGTTCAAGTCTGTATACATCCTTCTGTATCTTAAGCCTAGTATTGGCTATTCCTGCCAGCTTGGTGTCATGTGCAAATCTGATGAGTTTCTCTCCTATCTCATCATCTAAATCTTTTATGGAGCTATTGAAGAATACTGGGCCTAAGACAGACCCTTGAATTATTCCATTGCAGATGGGGATCCATTAACATTGAGTGCCATTGGTCAGCCAGTTACTAAAGCATTTGATGATGCTTTCTAATCCACATTTTCCTAACTTATCAAGTAGTAGGTTGTAGTCTACTTTATCAAATGTTTTACTGAAGTAAAAGTAAATTATGTCCATGGTATTTTGCTGGTCCACTGGTTTAGTCACATTTTATTGGCACCCCCACAGGCCTATCTATTGATGTGGTTACCTGATGAAAGAAGATTTGATACCATGACTGATATTCATGGAATCTTTTATTTATAACAAATGCTTTTAAGTATTCCAATCAAACAATCCTTATTAATTTTTAGAGAACTTGAGTAGGCTATATGCTGGTCTCCAACTTCCATCTCTGCTTTGCTGTTTTTGTTTAAGTAATTGCTTCATCATTCCAGCCATTGTCTATTCACTTTAGGGTGAAGGTCTCTTCAGCATGTTTCCAACCAATACGGTCTTTAGCTTTCTTTTGCTAACTGGGCACCCAGCTCTTGCTGATGCCATTGCTCTATCTTGTTTTAGGTCCCTTTTGTGGACACTTTTTATCAAGTGGAATCCATCCTATGACTGCCTAAGTTCATGTGCCATCAGTTATTATGTGGCCAGAAGCAACTGCTTCATTCTACAGAAAAGAATGGAAATGCTATGTTAACATATTATTTCAACATTTTGTGAAAATGCCTAAAACTGACAATAGATATGTTGTACAAGTTTCATTACAGAGTGCCACTGCCACTGTGGTATTTGAAATAGATGTCTTTCTTTTAATATAGCATGTTTCATACTTTTTTTTCTTTTCATTAAATGGTACATGGTCATGACATACTGCTATTTGTAGTGAAGTTCAGATATCACCCTTTTGGGGACTAGATTGGCTGAACCACTTACTAGTTCTTACCTTCCTCAGTCCCACTGGATGGAGTCTGATGGTTGGTGTTTTTCATTCTGCTACATGCTAAGACCAGCCAGAGGTATCTATTGCCTCCAAATATGAAAAAAAAAAAAAAAGAATTAGGGTATGTGTATTGTCTGAACTAGTCCTTAATCTGTACTACTTTCCCACTTAGAAGAGCCCAAATAGAGACATTCTGATAAAGAGAAATGAGTCTTTGGTGAGAGGAGTTATTCTATTTTACTATAAAACAGAAACAGATTTAGTAATTTAATGGCAATCATTGACAGGTGCCTGAACCAAATATAAAATTTCCCCCATGCATGAATCTCACTAGCAAACTTTAAATTGAAAATAGATATATTACAAAAAATCCAGCAAGTGAGCTCTTTTTCCTTTCACACAAACAAACAAACAAACAAACAAGCCCTGTGCATATTGGACTAGGGACTGATTATTTTCTTTATACAGTACCCATGTGGTTTAACGTGGAGAATGTTGGTCTCTCTGGAGATACAAGGGGAATGAATCTTGGGGTATTTGGTCTCTTGACTCTTTATCCATTTGAAAGCTTTTCCAGCTTTAAGCTTCTGAACTCTTTATATTCAACTTGCTTTGGGCACATAATTTATTCTTTATTTTCCTTCCATTTGCAGGCTCAGCAGATACCAAGTCTGAAGCAGTCATGTCTGAATTGGTACCAGAGCCACGGCAAAAGCCAGTAGTACCAATGAAACCTGTCAGTATTAATTCCAACCTACTGGGTTACATTGGGATTGATACTATCATAGAGCAAATGCGGAAGAAGACCATGAAAACTGGATTTGACTTCAACATCATGGTTGTAGGTAGGAAAGAAAGGCTTGGGGTAGGAGAGACTTCATCTAGGTACTTTCTTTGAAGTTGCCTTGCAGCATTTCCTACAAGCATGAGTATTTCCTTGAGGCTCTACTTCTGCTCCTGATTGCAAGCAGGTATTTCATCCTAAATAGTTCTTTCTTTTGACCTAGCATTTTCTCTCATGGCAATCAGTAATCAAACTTAAAACAGACTCTGCCTGGATGAATATCCTCCAAACAAGTTGACACCATGGCTGCTTCCACGTGACAGTTTTAAACTGCTTGTTTCTCTGCTTAAATCAGTTGGAAATGACATTGACAAAAGTGTTCGCCAGACAATAATCACAGACCCTGACTAGGGTTCCCTTGCTTTTTCCCCGTTATACATGCCAAGAAAGCAAACAGCTTTGCTCTTGGAGTGGGGGGGGGAGTTTAAGGACAATGTGGCTTTTATATGAATTGCCTCCACTGATTCCTTCTTGTGCTTCACATTTTCTCATCCAACACAAGAAAAATTCAGTTTTACTGTTCTTCCTGACATTTATGCCATGGGAAGAACTTGGCAGAACATTTGTCAACTTCACCTGATTAAAGCAAAGAAATTTGTAAAAAAAACAACAACCCCAAAACATAGTATCAGACCAGCCTTTCTGTCCATTCATTAAGCAGTCCAGCATTTTACCAGTCCATCAGTGAAAATCCTTTCAGAATAGGGGGCAGGCAGCCTTGTAACCAGGCTAACACAGACATGGATATCAGTGAGCAGGAAAGAGGTGTTTCCACCACAATGCATGGTAACCAACTGGAGCAGAAGTATTTGCCTACAGTGAAATGCTGTGCTGCAGACAGACAGCTAAAATCCACTTGTAGAGGCATAAACAAGAAAACATAACTTTTGAGATAGAATTGCTTTCACAGTGGACTTGGTCTGCTTGGACAAAGTTACCTGCTTCTTTCAAGAAAAAGCAGGGGGGAGACATTCTCACATCAGGCAAGGAGGATGTGTGAATGAGCTTTACAGCTCCCAAACTCCATAGCCAGCATAGCATGGGCAACAGCAGTTCTGATTCCAGCATGTCTGGAAGGTACCAAGTTGAGAAAGGTTGCCAGTATTTCTTTATTATGTTTTAAATCTACCAAATGGTCCTTTTTTCACTAGCAGTTTACCATTCAGCTTTTACTGTGACAGGTAAAAAGAGATACTGCCATATAACAGATTGTCTGGATTATGCACTCTTTTGCATTCTTAGTTCCTTGATAACTAAGTTATTGTTTTCACATATTTCAGACAGGTAGTTGGTCAAAATCTGATTAATGGTTAAAATATACAGTTGGCCAGTCATCTAAGTGAGGAGTGTAGCTATATCTTCCCACATGCTCAGGATACACCCCAAATCACAGCACTGCAATAATGGTCCATTCCAGGCAGCTGTATAAATGTTCTCTCTCTCTCTCTCTCTCTCTCTCCCTCCCTCCCTCCCTCCCTCTCTCTCTCTCTCTGTCTCGTGTGTGTGTGTGTGTGTGTGTGTGTGTGTGTGTGTGTGTGTGTGTTTTCATTCTTAGGCCTGTGCTGACTGGCCAAAGCAAGATAAAGCTGTTCTTTTATGAAGCATTGGTGTAAGATTTTTACTATTTTAACTCAGAGCTGAGACAAGATATGGCCTATGTTGTGTGATCAATGAGGAACACTGGGATTGATGGGGATATACCTTGCAAGCGAACAAAGAGCCATTAAAAGAAGCTCCCTGGGAGAATTTGATAGTCAAAGCAGTAGTAATAAAAAAAAAATACAGTAGCAATTAACACTAGCCAAAAACTTATTTTATATTGTTTGTATGTTGTTTCCCCTAGGCCAAAGTGGACTTGGAAAATCAACACTGGTAAACACCCTGTTCAAATCCCAAGTAAGCAGGAAGTCTTCAGGCTGGAACCGTGACGAGAAGATCCCTAAGACTGTAGAAATCAAAGCTATTGGGCATGGTAAAAGGCAGTTCTTCTTAGTATGCAGATAAACTGTGGCTTATTATGCCAGGCTTTTAAGCCATTTCTTTATTAATTACAAAAGGAATTAGGGTCAGGGCAGCACAGCTTTCAAAAGAAGGACTGAAATAGAACTCCTTGCTTTTTCTTCATCCAGTAATTTGGCTCTCTCTCCCAGGAGAATGGCAAGAATCTGAAAGAATCTGCTGTGCTGTTCCAATTCTAGGGAGTGGGGTGCTCAGCTAATTTTTTTAAGAATTATCTCTTTGAAAAAATATATAAAATAGTTGTGACAATAGATGTAGGGCCGATTGCAGGGAAATGCTAGGCTAAATAGATTCGAAGTTGGCTGGTAATCTGACAGACAAAACAGTACTTTTGCTGGGGTAGATATGCAGTGGCAGAATTTGAAAATGTGAAAAGCATTTACGTACTAAAAGGAGACCTCACTGCACTCACCTCCCTTGCTCAACTACCTAAAACATGAAACTATAAGTAAAACAACCATGCTTCCTGTGTTACTGACATAAAGGGAATATAATAATGGAAGGGATAGCGATGCTGTGATACTGGCCTCCCTTCTTTGCACCCATTTCTTAAGTATTTATAAGCAAGCTCCCAAAACACCGGCATTTTACTCTGATGTCGTTGGCAGTTAGCCGAGGAAAGCTAAGTGTATTAAAACAGTTTTGTTTGTATTTTATCCTGGTGTTCGATGATCTTCTTGAATATGAATATACCCGGGATTCGTATTTTTAGTGTAATTAAGGACAATATGCCTGGCCTGTTTTTCAGACCATATTTTACCCCAAAGGTTCCCTAGTATATAAGAATTACACCATTGTGATTAATGTATAGTGTAGGCACTTTCACAAATGAAAATATGGTGTGTATTCTGTTTTCTGAGGTTTTCGCAGTTGTTTGTATGTAGGTCTTTGGTTATTTGGGTTTTCTCCTGCATAAAATTGGAAGTGTCTTGGCGACGTTTCGATGAAGTCCCATTTGTCATCTTCAGGCTGGTGTTTTCGGCTTCGTGCTTCTAGGAGTCAACTGTGTATCTTGGAAGTCAACTGTGTGATTGTTATTGTTGGTTGTTGTTTTTTGCCTAGCTGCATACAATTTTATACATACTGTGGTTGTACAGAGATGGACTGTCCCTATATGGATAAATGGAAGTGGCATGGCTGAATCCATCCAATCAGATGACTTTTGAACCATTGTTATTATTGGTCAAGGTTATTTCCTGGTGCCAAGAACTAAACAGAGTATTACTTGTGCTATATTTGGAATCCGTATAAGTAATCTTCTAGTTGAAGGACATATCAACTAGATATTGCCTTCTAATCCTTACCATTCAAGGATTACAGATATTATAAATAAATACAATATAATCAGAGTATTTAATTTATTAATATATGTCAAACTTAAATAGGCTTCCCTGTGAATGTGTATTTATTTACTCCTCTCTCATTCACCTAAGAATGGTTGCAAATGTTTCACTCATGATCCACTACATGCTTTCTCCATTCACTAAAAATATATACTTTGAGAAGTAATTATTTCTAAAGAGCTACAAAACTCTTAGTTCTTTTTGTCCTCTAGAAAGATCTTCATGCCCTAATTATATTGATAGACAGGGAAAGAGAAAGAGAAAGAGAGAGATTACTTTTGAAGGCGAGTAACAGCAACATTCTTCCCTCAGTTATTGAAGAATGTGGTGTCAAAATGAAGCTGACTGTTATTGACACCCCTGGCTTTGGTGACCAGATCAATAATGAAAATTGGTAAGTATTTTCTTTTTTCACTGATTTTCTGTTTCAATCCAACTTTCTTTTCCTCCTGATATAAGTAGAGAAGTGGGTAAGATTTAAATATAGTGGAATTCTCATTTGCAAACTCTGATTAATGTACACACACACATAAACATTTTCAGAAATACCATACAGCAATATAGTATGTGCCTTGTACTCCAAGTTACTTCAAATTATAGTTTTGATGATACGATGACATTTACTAAAGAAATGCCAACAGGAATGTTTTAATACAGGTAGTCCTCAACCTACGAGTGTTCAGTTAGTAATGGTTCAAAGTTATGACGCCTTCAGAAAAAAGTGACTTACAACCTGTCGCCAAATTTACAACTTTTGCACCTCCACTGCAGTCACATGATTACAATTCAGGCACTTGGCAATAAGTTCCCATTTACAATGATTGTGGTATGCTGTGCTCAGAATCATGATTTGCAACCTTCCCAGCTGAATTTCTGATAAGGAAAATAAATGGGGAAGCCAGATTTTCTTAATGACCATGTGTTTCATTTAACAACCACAGTAAAATGGTCATAAAATCAAGTCCAGTCCCAATTGTGGTTGCAAATCAAGGACTATCTGTAATCTCATATTGATTAAATTATTTTTAACAAGTGATTTACTGATCACATGAGGTTAATTTCCCCCTAAATGGTCATACTAGTGAAATTACAAAAACCCTTCAGGATGGCTTACTATGCTGCCAGTATGAACAGCAGTTGGGAAACTGTTTATATTTCAAAGTTGTAGTAGATTAGAGACTTGGTATCTCCGAGGAAAAGTCCTACCACTATAAGCATCATTGCAAATTCTAGCATGGTTCCCTATTCCCTGGGAACATTGTACTGCTAAATGACAAAATGGACATCCTGCATAAAGGACATGTTTTTTCAATATGAAAAATATGTGTCTTCCCAGAGACCCAAGCTGCAAAGCAATTTTAAATTTCCTCCTTAATATACATGAAAATATCACAAATAATTTCAGAGAACATACAACATTTAGCATTAGTACATTTTAGCCATTGTACTAATTTCATATTCTATTTATTCCATGATCTATAAAATTATCCAGCTATTTTTTATGCTACATGATTTGTTTTGTTGCTCATAAAGCATGATCTACTACCATGTTCCATACATTATATATACAGTACCTCAGTAATTTGTTATAATTGGGCAAATCTGGTGACACAGTTGCAGAATACAGAGATTCTAAAATCTAAATCTAAAATCATATTAGCAGCATCCCAATTTCATTTTGTAATATCAGTTAGATCAGAATGTCAGATTATTTGGCTATAAAAGGGATCCTGTCAAAAATCATTTTGGTGCCTGTGGTTTGTTTCCTCCCAAAGCCTATTAGCACATGTCGGAATAAGAAATAAAAGATTGTCTGTCTGCTTCTTCTCTTCTGCGTGCTTAGCTGGGAGCCCATTGAAAAATACATCAATGAGCAATATGAGAAATTCCTGAAGGAAGAGGTGAATATTGCCAGAAAGAAACGAATCCCAGATACAAGAGTCCACTGTTGCCTCTACTTTATCTCTCCCACAGGCCACTCGTATGTATCTCTCCTAGTTCTGGGGCTGGTCCATAAGATGAAGAGAGGGGAATTAAGATTGTTACTGATAGGTTTTATTAATGGAGGAAAAAATACCCTTTTTGGACTAACAGGATGCTAGAATAAATTCCCCCTGCAGCCAGCTAAAGTAATCAAGGTCAGCACAGATTTCATGGTAATATTTCTTCCAAAGGCCCAAAGAAGAAAGTGGTAAGCTTTACTCAAAGCAAAATCCATGCTTGAGATATCTTACATCTCTATACCTAATCATGCATATGAAGACCTAGAAGAGCTATTCCTATTCATTATAATTATTGTTTGCAAGTTTCCAGGACAGAATATTTTTAAGGCTGGTTCATATATGATTTTTTTCAAAGTTCAAATGCACAGTTCTGTAGGCGAACACAGTATTTCTAGATATTTAATATGAATATATTAATCTGTGTGATCACACAGATGTAATTATTTTACCAGCTCTATCTATACTCTTTAGTAACTGCTATCAGCCATGCTTGCCAACAAGAGTGGTACTTGGCAAAACAGCCACTTATGTAATCTTTATATTTAGCACATAACCTCAAGGTCGCTGAGATTTTTTCTTGTTTATGTTCCTTGAGGTTTTAGTGCCTAGAATTTATTTCTTTTTACTTTCTCTGCCAGTCAAAGGGTCTTCCTGATGGCAATAAATTAATAGGAAAGGGCCTGGAGTCACAGATCAACTAGGCTCCTGTATCTTATCCCCCACCTTCCAAACTGGAGCTGAATACATTATTAGAGGAATTAATTATATTAATTATTAGTAAAGTAAGATGCTTTTCCATAGTAAAGATGGTTATAATTGCCTAATCATCTTCTTCCTGCAGTTTGCGACCTTTAGATATGGAATTTATGAAACATTTGAGCAAAGTCGTAAATATTATTCCAGTTATTGCCAAGGCAGACACCATGACTCTGGAAGAAAAGATTGAGTTCAAACAGAGGGTGAGTCTCCCTTGGGAAAGCATCTAGCAAAGCACACAATCCAAATATCTTTCTAGATCAGTGGTTCTCAACCTGTGGGTCGCGACCCCATTTGGGGTCGAATGACCATTTCACGGGGTGGCCAAACAACGCAGTCCGCCATTTTTTCCCCTTTTCCTTAGCTGTGCTACTCCCTTTTATTCTATTGGCTTTTGAAAGCCAATAGAATAGACTCTCTTGAATAGAGTCTAATTCTATTGGCTTTCAAAAGCCAATAGGAATTGTCCAGGCTGTCTCTGCCCTGCTGAGCCCGCCAAAAGTCCCATTCTGCAAACGGTGCTGCAAGTTGTCTGCAGCGAAGGTGAGCTGTCTGGAAGTTTCCACCCCTCTCTGCTGAGCAACTACTAAAAATGTAAGTAAAAGAGGGCCAGGGGTGGGAGATGGGAGGCCGGCGGGTGTAGGGAGGGTTGCTCGCGCGCGTGGGGCTCGGCGGGTTCCTTACCTTCTTTGGGCTGGGCCAGCTGGTGGCCCAGCCAGTGGTCGGCCTGCTCCGTCTCTGCCGCTTGCCAGCTATGCCTCGGCTGGCGCAGGGGGAGGCACCACAAATGTGCAGCGCTCCCAGGCAGGGAAAGTCCTCGACTTACGACCGGTTGGGTAATCCTCGACCTACGACCGGTTGGGTAGTTCTCGATTTACGACTGGTTGGGTAGTCCTCGACTTACGACCGGTTGGGGATCGCAGCATTAAAAAGGTTGAGAACCACTGTTCTAGACTGTGTCAGAAATGCTATCTGCTTGCATAATCTTTTCAACCTGAAATATTTTTTCTAACCAGGTCCGTAAGGAACTAGAAGTCAATGGAATTGAATTTTATCCCCAGAAAGAGTTTGATGAAGATCTTGAAGACAAAACAGAGAATGACAAAATCAGGGTGCGATGTTTATAATACCAATTGACTTTTTGTAGTAGGTTCTGAAGTAGTTTAATCACTATTTTTTCATCTTTGGTTTGTTTGATATGAGCTACACCTAGGATGTGTGTCTAGTTATTGAGAATATATAAACTTTAGATTTTTATAAACTATTATTTTTACTAGAGATTAAAATTAGGTCATATGTAGCTTTTAGAGACTGAATCCAAAGTTGGAATGTAAGGAATTTTTATCCTTACATACATTTGAAACTTATGCATTTAGTGAGGGAATCTAATTTTTTAAATACATTTTTACAAACTTATTTAATTATTGTTGGTTTAGACATATTTATGTGCTGCCTTTTTATTTATTAGATGATTAAAGGAGTCATTAGTTTTCAAATGTATTTTCCATTATATATTGTGTGTACTCTGTATAGACCTACTGTAGAGAGAGAGAAACTAGCAATGACAACTTGTATACACATATTATTTTATAAAGGTACAGGGGGTTGGGTGAAATGGAGAGAACCAATTCCTGAGTTAGTCATGAAAGCCAGCTGGGTGATTGTGTCACTCTTGGTGCAACTCATCTCACAGGGTTGTTCTTGTGAGGAAAATAGGAGGAGGTTGGATATGTTATTTGTGAAAATAATAAAAGGTGGGAAACAAACAAATATATAAATAATAAAATCATCCTTACTTGTACAGTACTAGAAAGAAGGAAATTAATGCCTATGTATATTTTCAGCAGGAAAGTATGCCATTTGCTGTGGTGGGCAGTGACAAAGAATATCAAGTGAATGGGAAAAGAGTCTTAGGCAGAAAAACACCTTGGGGAGTCATTGAAGGTAAATACATCATTATCCTGTAATTTCTGACTGCTCTATTTTTAGATATCACTATATTGCAAATGCTAATGGTAGCAGACAATCTGCAAATGGTACCAGTTGTATTTTTTGTGAAGATTCCTGCCTATGACCTACAAATATGTACACTATCTTTCCCATCTTATTCAATGGGATTCATTAGTTATTCATGATATGGATGAATAAATTGAGGTGAGCTTATTTGAAATACTGAATCATAAAATAGGAAAATACAGCAGTTATTTTCAAGGGTGAATTTTCTCTAAATAACTGGGGGGGGGGGTGAGCAAGAAAAAGAGAAATCCCATTAGATCAGTTTTTAGTTTGAAATATATAAGAAAAAAATCTCAGTTAATGAATAATAGCTTGATATTAACTTTTAAATGTTTTAAGCACCAGGAAGGATAATATATGATAAATTATAACACTCAGGAAGCTTTTAAAAACGTGAGTCTTTCAGCTTGCATTAGGACACAAAATGAGGACTGGTACCTGAATACATTATTTTTTTATTTTGATGATATATGACACCATGGTTTTACTAGTGTATTAGTGCTGGTTGTAATTTCTGATATGGATTTTTGCTTTGAGTTCATATTTATTGATTTATGGTACCGCTTAAAGACATATTGTAACTGAATTGACAGAATAATTTATAATAAATAGAGTTGTGAAAAAAATATGAGTGAGAAAACAATGTGGAAAGAGGCAAGTGAAGGTAAATTTCTCCTCCTCACAAATCTTTGCTCCACTTGCTTTCACTTGCTTTTTGTTGATATTTTTGGAACTTTTTGACAGCAGTCTATATTATTCAAGTGGTTTCCACAATCATCAGAAAAACGTGTTTGATAAACAGAAGGGCATAGGTCTATTCTAGACAGAAGTTGGTGGAAAGGCCCCTTCTTTCTAATCTCCTAGGGAGAGTATTGTTGTTTTAGGTCCTGACAGCCATGGAAGACTAGGATCACGTGAGAAGGATCAATTAAGCCAATTTATTGCTAAAAGCCTATATATAAGAATCTTCTCAATTAACATTCAGCACCTGGTTAGTGTTAGATAAAGGACAGTAGCACTCAAGGGGGGGGGGTTGGATTTAGTTTGCTTGGGGTGTAGTGATTCTAGGTTGAAAAGATTCCCTCCCCAGGTTCTGCCATTCCTTCTCTTACAAATCCGAAGGAATTCTTCTGCAATGTTTTATCTAATCCACTACCATGCAGATAATGTGAGAGACCTAAGAATGGCAAGATATCCTCTTATATTAGTGCTGCTTCAAGCAAGGATCGGCCCTCAAGATTTCCATTCAGTTTTGTGATTCCATTACTATATTCTTATATGTCATTAATGTAATTTCCTTTATTTACAGTTGAAAATCTCAACCATTGTGAATTTGCTCTACTACGAGATTTTGTCATTAGGTGAGAATAACTTTTAAAGATGTTGCCTATTCAACTGGAATAATTTACTAAAATAAACTCAAAAAATTAAATAAGCTATTGCCATACTACAGCATTAAAATGACCGTGGTAAAAAAAATATTTCAATTTGGCACCACAGGGGAGTGAGTTTGACTGAGGACTGAGTGGTAAGGAAGCCAGTCCTCCTCGCCAGCATTCAGCCATAACTTTGTCTCCAGGGAGGTGATATAGTACAGATAGTCTTCAAGTTATGATAGATATGGAGCCTGCCCAATTCAGGATGAATGTTAAGTGAATTGCCTCATTAACAACCCCCATCCCAATACATTCATTAAACAAACATATAGGCTATTAAGTGGAACATGGGATGCTTCAGGAGTAGGAGAGTCCCTGGGAGGCCTAGTGCAAGCACAAACCCACCTGCATCAGGCCTCCCAAGGCCTCTCCCCAACCCGATTTACCCCATGCCCCATGCAGGATGGGGGGGAGTAGATGGATGGGCATGCTGCAACATCTCTGTGCTCAGAGGTGAATGGCTGCATGCAATGTAACTTTGTAACAGGATCATATCTAACTTTGGGAGGTCTATGGTAACTTTGAATAGTCGTTAAATGACCTATCATACCTCAAGGATTATCTATATTTACAACAAATAATTTGCTAGAATGGGAACAAATAAAGTAATAAAAAGGAGAGATGTGAATACTTCTTTTTTCTCAATTGCTCCTTATTGTCTATAGTTCATTAAGCTGGATAGATTTTTCATGACAATAGAATAAATTTGGAACAAACAAAATACTTCTTCAAATAATAGACACTTAAGAAATGTTCTGCCACAAAATGTGATAATGGCTACAAGGTTAAAAAAGGGTTAGAGAAATTTATCAATCATATATGACAATCCTGAGAGATGAAATTGCAGGAGAATAAGGGAAATACGGTACTCAGTCTTCGAACAATTTAAATATAAAAGCTAATATATTTGGATAATTTTGATCATTTGCCATATTAAATAACTGAATAGGAACACATATAAGGAATGGTTGCTGGAATTGTGTATGTCTAGTCTAATGAAGAGAAGGACACAATGGCAGTGTTCCAATATCTCAGGGGTTGCCACAAAGAAGAGGGAGTCAAGCTATTCTCCAAAGCACCTGAAGGCAGGACAAGAAGCATCGGATGGAAACTAATCAAAGAGAGAAGCAACCTAGAACTAAGGAGAATTTTTTTGACAGTTAGAGCAATTAATCAGTGGAACAACCTGCCTCCAGAAGCTGTGAATGATCCAACACTGGAAGTTTTTAAGGAGAGACTGGACAGCCATTTGTATAAAATGGTATAGGCCATAGGGTTTCCTGCCCGAGCAGGGGGTTGGACTAGATCAGGGCTTTTCAACCTTTTCGCCCATTGTACCACTTTTAGGATATGGCAACATCCAAGTACCACCAGTCGCCTAGCAAGATGTCAAAAACTTGATGACCCAAAAAAGGAAAAAAGTGATAAAGTACAGGTAGTCCTCGACTTACAACAGTTCGCTTAGTGACTGTTCGAAGTTACAATGGCACTGAAAAAAGTGCCCCATAAGCCACAGCCGAGCAAGACAGTGCCTGGCGGCGGTCTTCCTCCTGTCCAAGATTTTCATTGTTGTTTTTTTTTAAATTAAAAGTTTTACAAATTACAATATAAACCCACCCATCTCCTCCCCCCCTTCCCACTTCCCAGAGCTGATTACAGGGTAACAAATAAACAAACATACTCTAGCTAACATAAACCAACTAAACTATCAATCAAAACCATAATACACTTTAACTCCTTCTCAAAACAAATATTAACAAATTAAAACAAAAATAATAATACCATTAATACTATTAATAATTATCTAAAATCTATTCAAAAGCAAGATAATACTTTTCAGTTTCATACTTCTTCTGAATATAATCAATCCATCTTCTCCAAACCATAATATATCTTTCTTCTGAATGATCCTTCAAATAGGCGGAAATTTTCGCCATTTCTGCTAAATTAGACACATACAGTATCCATTCTTCCAAAGTAGGCAATAAGTTTTTCTTCCAATATTGCCCCACCAATAATCTTGCAGCAGTTATGAAGTTCAACATCAAATTAGTTTCTTTAACATCCAAATCTACAATAATACCCAACAAAAATAATTGCGGAGTAAACTTTATCTTTTTCTTAAAAATCTTTTGAATATTCCACCAAATCTTAATCCAAAAAGCTTTAATATCTTTACAAGTCCACCAAATATGAAAATAAGTTGCATCTAAATTTCCACATCTCCAACATTTGGGCTGTAATTTCGGATACATGCGGGACAACTTTTGGGGATCCAAATGCCATCTATAAAACATTTTATAAAAATTTTCTCTTAAATTTTGTGCTTAAGTAAATTTTACATTTCTAACCCATGTATCCCATGTATCCAATAAAATTGGCTCTTGGATATTTTGCGCCCATTTAATCATACAATCTTTAACTCCGTTTCAGAGTCCAATTCTATTAAAGCATTATAAATTCTTTTTATATGAAATCGACTTTGATCTTTAATCTGTTTTACCAAATTCACATCCTCTAAAATAATGCCAACCTTTTTATCTATATTCCACCTCAATAACAATTGATTATAATAAAACCAAGAATATACAATATTTTCTTGCTTCAACTCAGTTAAAGGCTTTAATTGCCAATGCTGCCCAACCAAACTAAGTAATTCCTTATAAGAAATCTTATCCAAATTTACTCCCCTAGATACTCCCTCTATCACGTGTCCTTGAACCCCCCAAACTGGAATTTTATAATTTAACCTATAGTAATACTTTTTCCAGACACGCAGCCAGGCACTTCTTAAAATATGGGTTTTAAAAACCTGATCCACTTTTTTATCATAAATTAAATATGCGTGCCATCCATATAATAAATCCCATCCCTCAAGAGAAAGGATATTCTTATTTGTTAAGTTGAGCCAATCACTAACCAAGGTTAAAGCCATTGCATCATAATACAATTTTAAATTTGGTGCCTTTAATCCCAAGATTTTCATTGTTGTGAGCATTTCTGTTGAGGATTGGCAGTGGGGGTGGGGTGGGGGGTGTTTGGTTTTTATTTTCCCCGACTGCTGGGTGGTTGCAGCAGGTTTTGGTCACTTCACATGACCCTGGGACACTGTGACCGTCATAAATATGAATCAGTTGCCAAGCATCTGAATGTAAATCACAAGACCCTGGAGATGCTGCAACATTCCAGCTGATTGGCACTTCTTCTGGGCTCGGCAGAAGTGTCGGGATCAGCGCCAAGCTTCAGATGGAGCCTGGCGCTGATCCTGGCACTTCCACTGAGCCCTGACAGCTCTGAAGCGCCGATCAGCTGGAAAGCAGCACTGATCCTGGCGCTTCTGCTGAGCCCTGACAGCCCTGCAACTCCAGCCATCTCTCACTCAGGCTTGTGCGGTGTTGCCACCGGTTCAGCTAATTCCCCTCCCCCGCTACCACTTTTCTAGGATGGTCACATACCACCTGGCAGGTGCCAATGTACCACAGATGGTACCCATACCACTGGTTGAAAAGCCCTGGACTAGATGACCTCCAAGGTCCCTTCCAACTTTATTATTATTATTACATGTGCTCCTGTATTTCTGTGTTGTAACAGGATATGCTTTTTGTCTTCTGTTCACCTTTTTTTTTTCCCTTGTTCTCCAGGACCCACCTTCAAGACCTAAAAGAAGTCACCCACAACATCCACTATGAAACCTATAGGGCAAAACGACTGAATGACAATGGGGGACTCCCCCCAGTGACCATAGAGACAGAAGAAAATCATGAAAGCAATTTGTGAATGATCAATACTGTTATCTGTTGTTTCAGAAGCATTTCATTCTATCTTTTTATTTGAATTCAGGCCTCTCTTAGAAACGTATGGAATATCCTTCATGAGTGTATGGGAGAAAGAACATAGATATGGATTTCCAACTTTCCCTATATGTCCTCAATTTGTTATGGTTTGTTGCACAATCAGCCAGATGTTTAGACTGGATTTGGCATTTTTGTCCACCATTATAATTATTTTTATTAATTTTGTACCAGAAGTTCTAGTCTTCCGTTGTTTTCCAGTACTCAGTTGTGCATCCTGATTGTGGGAAATGTAAAAAAATCCTTGACGTGACACGAACTGTGAAACCATGTGAAGCGCCTCCAAGGGTTGGTAGGAAATGAGATCAATTTACTGTAAGCACTGTGGTGAAAATAGACACATAGAGTCAAGCTTTCCAGGTCTGGATACTTTGCATTGTGGTTGATGGTTTGTGTTATAAATTCACTTCTCAATGTAGAAATATTAAAAGTTAGACTGAGGTTGGGATCTTACAGGCACTTCTGTAATAGTAAATGTAATGAAATCAGTGGGAGGAATTAGTTGCCAAGTAAGTGTGTTTAGTTAGAATTAATAGGCAGGTGTGGATAACAATGTCAGGTTTTTCTTTCTCATTATTATAGGAGATAAACTATTATAGAGTTAAAAGCTAATCTGGAAATATTGTTTTCTTAGAACAGGGGAAATAACATTTTTAATAGTACCACAATATTCCTTAAATCACCATTATGTATCTCAGATTCACATACATACCCACTACCTAAAATCTGCCCCATGTTATTGTCAGACCTACCCTAATGAAGTTTTGACATTACAGTAATGGAACAATCCTTCTGGATGTCTGAGGCAGCTGGAAAGCAAAGAATGCAACATTTCCAACTGTGCCTTTTGCCCTCTAACCCAGAGGTCTCCAATCTTTTGGGCACTAGGGACCGGTTATGTGGAGAGAGGTTTTTCTGCAGACCTTAGGGGGTGTGGTTTTGCGTGCTGCCTGCATCCCGCAGATGGGGCTTTGCTTGTGTGGCCCTATTGATGGCATGCTGCGGCACAGTACCAGACCCTAGACCGGGGGTTGGGGACCCCTGCTCTAACCCACAGACTATGGGAAAGATGCCTGTAGCTATTGTATACTAAGACACTGTTAAGGAGGATATTTAAGGCACATCCTTCTTTCATCCTAAAATGTGTCATTTTAATTCTGACTCAGATCCTTGTAAGTTTGCCTCTAGGCAGTCAGCTTTCATTCAATTGCAAATTGTACTGCTGATTTCCAAATACGGAATCTGACTAGAGTACTCTAATCTTTAGGTTTTCTGCTTTGTTCTCTTTTTAAAACAAAAACAGGTACTTAGTTTATACAGTCAAATGCTGAAAATCAAAATTTGTGGACTACCTAGAAAACAGAAGTGACTTGTGAGGATCAGAATTTCACTGCCACATAGTGAGCCACCATGTTTGCTGTTTCATACTGTCTCCCATAATATCATGATTATTAACTAATGTAACCCCACTTTTGGGGGAAAAAATAGTCCTCTTTCATTTTTAAATGTGCACATCTAAACATCAAAGTCAAATGTTCCTTCTATAGAGTTCTCCATAGTGGAAATTAGCTAACAAAACATTAAAAAATAGAGAAAACAAAAGAAGCTGTTTACAGCTGAATCTGATGACTGTCTCATCCCGTTCTATACTGTTTGTCTTATCTGGCAGTGGGTTTCCATCCAATCCTGAAGAAGACAACAATTGAACCCTGAATTCTTTACATGAAGAGTGTCTGCTCTGTTATGGAATTATGGCCTTTCCCTATCATAAAATATATCACAGAAATATTAAAAATGGAGTAAAATTTGTAGCTGGTATTATATAATTTATTGCTTAATTCAAACAATTCTAAGTCAGCAAACACTAAATTAAAAATCAAAGTTTAATCAGTAAAATTAAAGTTCCATGCATTAAGAATCTCCTTAGGGAGGGTATTTAATTGAATTGGAGCCACAACAACAGAAATCCACCGAAACCCCTTTTTGAGTTTACAAATTATTAAAATATGATCAGGAATGTGGCAGAAAAGGTCATCACATTATAGAAAAGTTGTCCGTAGATTCATTCATAAAATGTTTTCAGTCCTTCCAAATAGATTTTTGGCTCTAGAAACCTGGAAAAACTAACTGCCATATTTTAATTTCTACAAATACATATACAAACTTTTGCAGTATGCATAACTATTTTGCATATAACAACTACTTAAAGTAATATACTTAATCAAAGAATAAGTGTTTTGATCCTTTGTTCCTAGCTTAGATAAATGTCAAGGCTCTTCTGAATTAAGAGTAATATAGTTTTCTAAAAAAAATAGTATAGAAATGGTTTGTCAATGCCTTCTTTTGAGATTTTTTTTTTTTATTTCTTAGTCTGGTTTAGTCCAATGGAATTTAATCTTTTTCCATTAACTCAAAAAAGATAACAAAAGAGAAGTACATTTGGAATCCTTCAAGACAGCTTTAGAAGAACTCTCTCCATAAAACCTCACGAGATCATAGGAGAATTTAATAGGAAAATGTTTGCTATAATTTTGGATTTATTTCAATAGACCTTAATATACAGTCTAGGTTCACACATATATTACTGTAAGTTATAATGTGATTTGATTTACTATATGAGGTGAACTAAGCCATTCTGGACTGTAACATAGTTTGTGATGTTGCAGTATGTGGGATCCTAACCTATTATTGCTTATTCATTACAGTTAATCAAACTGTAACTTAATATGAAATATTAACCCAAATAATATTTGACTGAAGCAACCACTCAACCGTAAGAATGAGAGGGACAACTCTGTGTGTGTGTGTGTGTGTGTGTGTGTGAGAGAGAGAGAGAGAGAGAGAGAGAGAGGGAGGGAGGGAGGGAGGGAGAGATCATTGGATGTATTACATATAGGAAACTTGCCTAGTTCCAAAAAGCTAAGCAGACTATGACCCTATTGATATTTAATATATAATTAATTACATAAATTAGTATTTAGTTGGGAAACTTCCAGAAATTCCCAAAGAGGTCCTTTTTTCTGAATATCGAGGAAGAAGCAAAGGCAAATGATTTCTGAATTATTGCCAAGAAAACAACTTGGATATGTCCATGTAATCATCAGGAGTCAAGACTGAAGGATTTAATTAATACTTTTATTATATACTAGGAAGACTCATAACTCCCACTTCTAGTTTTGACAAATAGCTAGAGTAGACAATTTCTCTATTTCACATTGCCATTAACACTATGAATTTATATGAATTTGCATAAATGGTACTATTCTTCATAAGATTTGTTTTATAACAAAGGCCTAGTAAGAGAAATACATTTGCATGATAAGGAGGCAGGCCTTTCATTTATTTCTGTGCAGAATTTCTTGCTTCTTTAGCTTAGTTTAACCATTGAGAGGATAGTTTGCTAGTAGGTTATGAATATTCTGAAACAAATGTAGCTTACGTTTTAGCTGAAATGAATATGATTGTCTGGTCCTGAGCAGGTTTTTGTGAAAGGGTAATTTTCAAGCCTTTCCATAACATTGCAAGATACAATTGCATGATGTTTCTGAAAACTATGTCAAAGCCATGACAGATTAATGACTGCAAGAGAAGAAATGTTTCACTATAGTTATTCAGAAAATAATTTTATGAGGATTGTCTTAGTATAGCAGCAGTATCCTTTGTCAAATATAAAAAAGATAAAAGAGCAACTGCATAGATATTTATTCAGAAGTAAGTCCCACTTTAGTTCAATATATTTAAGTGTGAAAACTAATATATTCTAATATAATTGTGGAAATATAAAGCTATGTTATTGGAATGATACTGACTCAGAAACTTGATGTTCAATGGAAGAGGTTATCAGAGAATTCTATAGTATTGTGCTGATTCTCCTAGGCATAAAATCAGAATGATCACACTAGGCATATTACTTCTTTTATCTGCTTGTTTTTAGAACTCTTGGGCACAAGAAACCTAATTAAAGAAATTCTACTGCCCTTTAACATGCATTAGCATTATTGTGCCTACTATGGGAGAATAAACCTCAACAATGGTGGTTTAATTCATGCATATTGGCTATTTTTCTATTTACACAAATTCACCTGTGTGCCCTTTTCTCATATTAATATTCAAATTGCTTCTATCAAATACACATATATTTAAATATATTAAAATGTTTTGGTGGCCAGTGTTCCTAAGCAACCTTTATCCGTCTTTTCTAAAGAGCTCATGTTATACAATACAAACAGTCACCACTCATTATATACCCACAGCAAAAAATTTTAGGCTATTGGGGCTGAGGAAAAGTGACAAATATAAAGTTGCACTGTTACTGTCTTATTCAAGAGATAACTTGAATTCTGGGTTTTTCAAATCCCAGTTCCACTCTCTAACCACTGCACTGCCTTGCACTGCAGATTATAATCATAAACACATTCTTCGCACACCCTGGCAATAAACGCAGTAAAATATACAAAGCTCTGGTGTTATGTCCTATGTAGGTATGGTATATTCCAGATGAGTTGAACAAAGAGAAAACCTTCGATTTTCACTCTACCTTAAGCCATTTCAAGTTTTATCTTCTTAGACTGTGTATAGGAGCAGTGATTTTGAGATATGATGTTATTGATAACTTGTCTTGGGGAACTCAAACTGAGTTTAACAAGCTCTACTTTTGCAAGCTAATTCTGATTTCCTTTACTACCAAAAGTAGTAGAATATTCTTATCAGTTTTACTTCTTAACAATAAAATTAGCTCTAAAATTCCATCTTGATACTGAATTGTGTAGAGGCATTTATTTTTAAAGTATTTCTCATCTACATCATAGCTAGTCTAACGTTGCTGAGAAAAGCCAAAGATCTGCCTGCTCCCAATGCAGATCTTTGCATTTTAGAGCCAGTTGTGGGAGCATCAGGTATTCATGGCCATTTGCTGTAGCCAATGTATGCACTATTACAAAACTGCCCTTTTTTCAGTTTCATTTCCCCAATTCAAATACCTAAAGACATCAAAACTACAGAAATAGCTCTTACTTGAGTATCACCATATCACTGTCACAAATATATTAGGAAAGAAAATGCCTCACAGCAATATAGTCCCCCCCTCTTTTTTATGTTACATATGGGTCTGTATTGTATAAATCAAGCCATAAAAAGAATACAGGTATAGAGAAAGAAAATACCCTATTATAATCTCTGAAAACCTTCCATTGTCATTGTGGATACCAAAATTTAATTAAAACATTTTGATAATGTAGATTGTCTTTGTGGAGAATTAGTATATTATACTACGACTGGGAGGGGTTTTGTTTGTATTAAAAAAACAATTACGGGATTGGACAATGCCTAGAATCTTTTGATATATTTAGCTCATTAAAGTATCACAATGAAGTTTCTTGTTACTGATCCAACCTTTTTGAAAAAATTACCACAATGATGTAAATATTGCTAGACTTAACTTTTGTGTTCCATTGCCTGATTAAAATATGTAATTTGAGTGATTTATTAGTAGCTTGCTCTACCGTTTGAGGTCTACCCTTAGAATCAGTAACAGTTCCATCTTGTTTCAGTTTCAGCTTATTATCTCACATCCTGTCCTTTATAAGCTGGAGACACGCAGAAGCCCTGGAGGCATCCAATGCTGACTTTGCAGAATAGGGACTTATCACTGGGTATTGTCGACATATCGGTATCTAGTTCTAAATCTGCCAAAAATCATTCCAAGTGGCTTCATATAAATGTTGAATGCTTGAACACTCTGATATTTAGTTATGTATGTCACTAATATACCAATATCAACATTTACATTATATAGGTTTTCAAGAACAATTTGAAGTGCTATTTTATGGAATAAGTCTTATATAGTATAACTTTTAGATATCTTCACATATTCACATCCTTCCAATTGAATCTGACACCCTGTATATTTGATGCAGGAAGTAATGCTTTCAGTTAACCCACCAGAAGTATGTGATCTGGAAATGTATAGATGATTACTCAATTTCTATGGAATGATTTCTCCATTCTTCCTATGATTGAGAAAACAACTGTTTTATTTTGTAGGGATTGGAATATTAAGGGTTGTTTGTATTACCATTAGTTTGGTAGGGGGAGAGGGAATAGAAGAATGTATAAATGATACATAAATAAACATTACTGGTAATCCTCTCCTTACAACCATTTGTTTAGTTACAATGGCACTGAAAAAAATGACAATTTTTCACATTTATGGCCGTTGCAGCATCCCCATGGTCATGTGATAAAAATTTACAGACACTTGGCAACTGGTTCATATTTATAATGGCTGCAGTGTCCTCGGATTATACGCTCACTATTTGTGACCTTCTGACAAGGAAAGTCAATGGGGAAGCTAGATTCACTTAATAACCATGTTACTAACTTAACAACTGCAGTGATTCATTTAATTACTGTAGCAACAAAGGTCGTAAAATGGGGCAAAACTCACTTAACAGCTATCTCATTTAGCAACAGAAATGTTGGGCTCAATTGTGGTCCTACTTGGAGGACTACCTATAATACATTAACTGGGAAGACAACTTAATTTTAACTATGATTATAGAATGAAGCTATGTTTAGATAAACTGGTGATTTCATATTAATTCCTAATAAAAATAGTAAACTATGTTAAGGTTTTTACAGAAATACAAGAAACAGCAATATAAGGAAGACACTTCTTTGAAATAGATGTTATAGCACTTCTACCATACAGTTCTGAAGAGACTAATGTTAAGAAATATGTAGGACAGAAACCTATAATCATTCACTCTAGGAACAGTCCAAAATGCAGAACCAGGCATTTCTCAAAAGCTAGGCAAATTTTACCAGAAACTGATTGATGTGAAACTTCAAAGGGCTATTGTTATAATCATATAACCTTGGTATTCTGGAGGGTCTCAGATTATGTGTTAACTTGAGGAAAAAGGAAGCATAAGTGAAGCATATTTGAAAATTTGAATATCACTGTTCATCTGTTTTAACTATTAGATAAGCAAAAATAAAAAAGCAAACAAAAAAATTGTCCCTCTGTATCTAATACAGCAGGCAGATGCATTACATAATTCCAAATTCTATAAATTGCAACCTGAGACAGAAATTGATGGAATCGTCTTTCCCTAAATTCCTCTCTTCTGTTACATTAGATCAAATTATGATCTAGTAATGAATCAAAGCCATCCATATTGTTTGTGGTTGCCTTTTTCACTTTCTTTCCACCTTTTCCAGTATCATGAACTTCTCAAGAGGCCTAGTTTCTGCATAATGTATTCTAGATGATAATTTGATTTCGATAATTTGGATTATGATCCACTTATTTGTTTTCTGGCTATCTATGCTTCGCTTATCAGTCTTCTTTAACAGTAACGTTAAAAAGCATTACAGTCTTTTTATCCCGCTTCTTAAAAGACCACTTTTGCTTCCTCCAAGTTTAAAAGTTCACACTATCTCTTTTGAATTCAGCCTCCCTCAATATGTAATAAGCCTATAAAGAAGATGAGAATACACAATTTTGTCTAACTCCTTTGCCTGCAGGAGAGATAAGCCCCGAACATACGAGGTTCAAGTTCATAGAAAAAATGCAACCAAAACAATTTCTGCTTATGCTGTTAAAGGGGCAGGCTAGGAAGCAAGATGTTTTGTGACTGGAGGGAAGTCCTCACTCCAAATACATTTTTCAGCTATCTACGGGTGTAGAAATGAACAGTTGATTTCAAGCAGCCTTCGATTATATATTACTTTCCAGGGTGGTTGGTGGGAATGCCGGGAACAAATGTTGTATTTACAAAGCAAATAAAACTGTTATTAAGTTAATTCCAAGAAAGGTACTACCTAGTTATGGGCGTTTTTCATCGATCAACACTAATTGCATTGCTCACTGATCTTCCTTCTACTCCTCCTTCCAGAACCCATTAAGCCGATTATAAACTAGAACCTTAGCAGCGCCGTCGCGCGTTTTGCAATCTTCCCAAGTAACCACGAGGCTTCCGCGGGACAGGCTTCCCCCACAGCTGACCGGCCGCCGCCACGCCTCCTCTCCACCGAGAGGCAGGCCTGCGCGCCAGGAGATCACGGCCGCTACGGGGCGGCTCTGCCGTATTTGGCAAGGGACGAAAGAGAAGAACCGCCTCGGTCGGTGCCATTGGCCGGGAACATGGCGGTGAACAGGAACCACTCGCCCGGTGGCGGGGTTGTCCCGCCCCACGGGGAAAGGTAACCGGAGGCGAAGATGCACTTGGCTAGTAAGGGGTGGCAGGGGGATAAATTGGGGCCCTTGTGTAGCCTCGGGGATCGCAAAATACAGGTGGGACATTTCTACTTGAGCAGTGGGACGGACGCCTCTAATGCACAGCACAACGACCTTGCGCCCCCCACCCCCACCCCCCGCGGAAAGCCGCCTGGTTTCTTCGGCCCCGAGCGCGGCGCCAGAGCTCGAGAGCGCTCGCATCTTTTCATCACCCGGAGAGGGATTGTGACTTCTGCCCAAGTGTTAAGAGGCCGTAGGAGTGTTACTTGCGTCGCTCTCTCCCCTTCTACAGTCTTGCTCTCCCCGGGATTTTGACTCCTGGTGGGGAGGCGCAAGGATGGTAGTGGCTTGTTTTGTTTTGTTATGTTTTGTTTCCCTGTAACCCCAAAAGTGTCTACGTGGCCTTTAATTCCACTTCCCATCCGGCAATAATCTGCGTACAGTAGTGTTGTTGTTTTATGACGTGGGCCGTAGTTGTGACACACATTTTCCTCTCCTGGTGTAGGCTTCATTAAGTACGAATTTAATCCCGCCTTCCTCAGTCTAGTTTAGGAATAATGGGTGTATCCGGAGAGCAATTTACGTGGAGGTAGAGAGTTAAGGAGGCTGCGTTACTGAATACAAGTTCTCTTTCCATCACACCATATAAAAGTACAAATTGATAGGGAAAAGGAAATAAAGTCTGGGCCCGAGATAAATTTCTGCATTACTTTTCTGGCAGGCTCGTTACCTAAGAAGAAACATGACTGAAGTAATTGGTTCACAGGAAAACAATTATTTATTTATGTTAAGATAGTACTCAATTAATACATTGAAGAGATGAATAATTATGACTTTGTTTTTGTCATAATTATTAAACAAATGAGAGCAAATAATTTACATGTTTGATTCATCATTCTTTTGGTTTACTTTGAAATAAAAAGGCAAGCAATTATTGAAGAAAACATACAAAAAAAAATAGTACAGCAGAGCTGCAATACTGAGAGTAGGCCTGGAAGTAGAGCCAATATGAGTTAAATCAGAATCACATGATTTCTAAATGATCATTGGAGTGCTAAGTTAACCTTGTCAACATTCTTGAGCAGTGATAGGTCACCATCTGTTTTTTTAAAATAAAATTTAAGTAAATGATTGTTTTTCAATGAAGATATTCAGAATTTTGTGCATTTTTCTCAGTGTATATATTGCAATTTCTGAGAATTGTAAAAGTTAGATTTTGGGACATCATATAATGGTAGTCTAATGGAATTAAGTGTATGACTTGCTATCACTAGGGCTTCCAATTCCATGTAGGGCTGAGTAGACACATCACCCAAACCAGAGTAAAGGCTCCTCTGGCCATGGCCTCCACCTGCCCCTCCAGCTGTAAACCATGAAATCTGGAAGAACTCCAAATTGTAGAACTTTTGTTTCAGAGGAATGCTATTCTGTCTAGAGTTAAAACCAGAACAGAATAGCATCCCTTTCCTATTGGGATTTAACTTCAGTCTATTTCATGTTGTCTAGACTAACAGCCTTCAGAGTCAGGAACTTCAGGTTGGCCCTGCCCAAGATGAAAATGTATAACTAGGGATCAGCTCAGTAGCATACTGATGATATTCTGTCTCCAAACAGATGGATAGCCTCTTTTAGCAGTTTCATGTTAGGGAGAGAAAACCAAACCCTGAGATATCACACAAGGGACCACCCACTGGGCCAACCTGACTCATTATCACCATTGGAATTACTTACTTTGTAAGGAGCAGAACTATTGTAAACCGGTGCCCTCAATTCCAAACTGGGCAGATGGTCTAGAAGAATACTAGGATTAATTGTATTGAATGTTGCTGAGTGGTCCAGGAGGCATCTATTCTCCATCTAGGTCATTCATAGATCATTCTCCAAACAAATGAAAACTGTTTCCATCTTGTGCTTTTTCTAGATTTCTGACTGAAAGGGTGTAAGATAATCCATTTTTACCAGATGCTTTGACATCTACTTTCTTCCCCAAAATAAAGTCGCCCAGAGTCACTTGGTTGAGTTGGATGGCTATAGAAATTGAATAAATAAATGAAAACTTCATTAGGAAGAGGAGCTTGATGACAATAGTTATTCAATATGATTGGGACCAGGGAATAAGGAGGGAGCATCACTTATTCCCCAAATGAGGTGCTTACTCCTGTCTGGGTTCATCAATCCACCCAGCCATCTAAAGAAGCCAAAGGGAACATGGATCTAAGCCAGAGGTGGGCAGAATTGCCCCAAACAGGCTTTCAACTTCATTAGAGTCCATTAGAGTCACAAATAATAGTAAAAGACATTGACCCAATTACCTTACGCCTACCATGAAGAATCAAACGTTACATGACTGTGAATGGCTTTATTGGCAAACTGTAGTGCAGAAAGGCCACAGTGGCCTGATGGTAAGGCTTCCTCCCCATCTTTCTTCAAAACTGAACATGCTACGTATACAATGCTACTGGGCTGTAATTTATCAACTGCAAGAGCAAAGAAATCTTAAAAGACTTAATACAAAGAACAAATAATAATAATAATAATAGATATTGCTATATTGGGGATAGAATACTACATTCACTAGTGTTGCTAACTGTAGTGTTTGAGTTGTACAGAGGTTTATACAAAGATGATCTGAGCTACGTTTTCTGGATTGAGCTTAGTAAATACTTTTTATTTACTTTGTAAAAAAACAATACTTAGTATTGTCATTTTAAATAAATCTTATTAAAGATATTAATACATCTATATTATGTCTCCTTCTTGAAGTATTCTCAAGCACTGTAAAGATGTGGAGCTGACTTTCTCTGAGATAACTGGCAATCCGGAGATTTTCAAAGGCACTAAGAAAGGAATGGTTTTTCTCACTCCATTCCGGGTAAGTTCTGAGTGAAATCCAACCTTCCCAAGTAAAAAAACAAAGTGGAAAATTTCCTCAGTCAAGCTTCCAAAACACTATTTAGTTTCTGAAAAGACATTTTTAATAATACATAAAGTAATCTGAGTTTTCTGCAAAATCCTTCTCAATTAGATGCTTTTACTAGAGTCAAAGTTAGCTGTGGCATCAGAAGTAAAGCCAGTGGTTAGCTTTTATTTTCCCTCCCGATTTAAGTGTCTCATAGTTAGGGTTCTATCTAAAACAAGTTATGCTTTAGTCATTTACATGCTCTAATTGAAAGTCAAATTAATGCTTAATGCCTTCGATGTGGAAGTCTTTAAAAGGCTCTCAGTTGAAATCACTAGAATAGCTATAGTGATTTAGCTTTTGAAGCCAGTAACACTAGTATAGTACCATTTGTATTAATTCATTTTCAGACAATTTAATGTTTTAAATACTTAAGAGTAGATTATCCATATCTCAACTGTGTGAAAAAATTTTTGGTTGTGACATTATCTCAACCAACAGATTCGGTAAGGGATTTGGTAGAAATCATAACCCAGTATGGGAAAGTCTCTAGTTTTAAGGTAAATAACAATAAGACTAAAATACTACCGAAAAATATGTCTATGAAGGAAAAGGATATGTTAGCTAAATTAACAGGTTTTGAAATAGTGAAAAAGGTTAAATACTTGGGAGTATACATTACAGCTTCTAATGTTAAATTGTACAAAAATAATTATGAGACATTATGGGTAAAAGCGCAAAAGGATTTAAATGATTGGAAAAAACTACAGTTATCTTTGCTGGGGAGAATCTCAGCGGTTAAAATGAATGTTCTTCCAAAGTTTCTTTTTTTTTGTTTCAAATGATACCTATTTTGAAAAAAGATCCAACTTGGAGGAATGGCAGAAGGGTATTAATAAATTTATTTGGGCGGGCAAAAAACCAAGAGTTAAGTTCAAGATTATACAAGATGTACAGGAAAGAGGTGGACTTAAGGCACCTAATCTGAAATTATATTATGATGCGGTGGCTTTAACATTGATTAGTGACTGGCTTAATTTAACAAATAAAAATATACTTTCTCTTGAGGGATGGGATTTACTATATGGATGGCATGCATATTTAATTTATGATAAAAAGGTGGATCAGGTTTTTAAATCCCATATTTTAAGAAGTGCTTTATTGTGTGTCTGGAAGAAGTATTATTATAGGTTAAATTATAAAATGCCAATTTGGGGGATTCCTGGACATGCGATAGAGGGGGTATCTAGGGGTGTGAATTTGGATAGGGTTTCTTATAAGGAATTACTTAGATTGGTAGGGAATGATTGGCATTTAAAATCGTTAGCTGAGTTAAAGCAAGAAAATATTGTACAATCTTGGTTTCAGTATAATCAATTGTTGGTTAGGTGGAAGTTAGCTCAAAAGGTTGGTATCACTTTAATAGACAAGAATTTGGTAAAACAGATTAAAGATCAAAACCGAGCGCATATAAAGAGAATTTATAATGTTTTAATAGAAATGATTCGGAAATGGAATTAGTTAAAGATTGTATGGTAAAGAGGACTCAAAATATTCAAGAACTGATTCCATTGGATTTTTGGGTTAGAAATGTAAAATTTACCCAGGCACAAAATTTAAGAGAAAATTTTTATAAAATGTTTTATAGATGGCATCTGGATCCTAAAAAGTTGTCTTGTATGTATCCTAATTTACAGCCCAAATGTTGGAGATATGGTAGTTTGGATGCCACTTATTTTCATATATGGTGGACTTGTAGAAATATAAAAGCCTTTTGGATTAAGATTTGGTGGAACATTCAACAGATTTTCAAGAGAAAGATAAAGTTTACCCCACAATTATTTTTATTGGGTGTTATTATAGATTGTGATGTTAAAGAAATTTATTTGATGTTGAATTTGATAACAGCTGCAAGGTTATTAGTAGGGCAATATTGGAAGAAGGATTGCTTGCCTACTGTAGAAGAATGGATGCTTAAAGTGTCAAATTTAGCAAAAATGGCTAAGATTTCTGCTTACTTGAAGGATCACTCACAAGAAAGATGTATTTCGGTTTGGAGAAGATGGATAAATTATATTCAGAATAAATATGGGACTAAAAAGTTTCATTTAGCCTATGAGTGAATTTTAGAGTATTATTATGATATTATTATTATTTTTAGTATTAGTATTGTTTAACAATTTCAAGATTGTATTGTTTAATAATTAGGATATTAATTTGTTTATGTTTTCATTATTATTATGTTTATTTTTAATTTGTTTATATTTATGTTAAAGGGGAGTTAAAGTGCATTATGGACTTGGTTATTTATATAGTTGGTTAATGTTAGTTAAATTATGATTATTATATTTGTAACCCTGTACTCAGCTCTGAGAAGTTGGGGAGGGAGGGGGGGTTTGGGTGGGTTATATTGTAATTTTTATAAAACTTTTTAATAAAAAAAAGAGTAGATTATTCAAAAAATTGACTGCACTCATGTGGATTTTAAGAGTGGTCTATGAAGTTTTGATTGCAGGCCTGCTGCAATCCTTTAGGTTGACAGACACTACAGATGAGTTCTATATAGCCTAGAACCCTTCTGTTTCTGGAACTATCTCCAGCCCAAAAAGAAAAATAAACACAACTCCATCACTATTTTTAAAATAATATTTAAAATATTTGCTTTTGTGTTTAGATTAAAAGGATTGTGAGTTTGGCTTTAAATATTTTGTATATTAACTCAGAACCTGGCATACCATTTTCTTTTGGTTGGTCCATACACTGTTACTGAGATCTTTAATGAAGGCCTACACAAGCCAAGAATCAAAAGTTATAAGAAGTAAAGCTAAACCATGCTGAACAGCCTTCTAAAAGATATCTATCTTGATTGATTATTTTGACTATTTAGGAAAAGTATTTTAGGATAAGTTAGCTTTGGGATAAAATTTTAAATCTTAAGTTGATGGTTTGATATGGATGTAGATTGCAGTTATATGTTACATGTTTTCATTTCTGTGTTGGCTTTCTTTATAAAAAGTGAAACCATAAATTTGTTTTGCAGGTTATTTTTGTGTCAAAAAGCAAAGACCCAATGATGTCTTTCATGATGCCATTCCACTTGGTGAAGGGATGCTCCATTGAACAACCAGTCTTTTCTGCCAATTATATCAAAGGAGTAATACAAGCAGAACCAGGAGGTGTGTGTCACCCATAAGAGAGGCAAATAATAATAAAAAAATGCTCTTGGAGTAATCATATATAAAATCAAGCTTAAAGGTTTTGGTTTAAATTTCTGTTGTACTGAGATCTATACATCCATCAAAAATATGTATCAATGTCTCTTTGTACATATATACCAATAATGAAGGTTTTTGATAGCTATTATGTTCACTATCCTTCATTCAGTACTTATGCGAAACTTCATAATTCACTTTACCTTGATTTGGAAGAAAAAGAAAAACTGGATTTTATTTTGAATTGTTGTTGTTAATTGCGAAGTCGTGTCCGACCCATCGCAACCCCATGGACAACGTTCCTCCAGGTCTTCCTGTCCTCTACCATCTTCTGGAGTCCATTTAAATTCACACCTACTGCTTCAGTGACTCCATCCAGCCATCTCATTCTCTGTCGTCCCCTTCTTCTATTGCACTCAATCTTTCCCAGCATTAGGCTCTTCTCCAGTGAATCCTTCCTTCTCATTAGGTGACCAAAGTACTTGAGTTTCAACTTCAGGATCTGGCCTTCTAAAGAGCAGTCGGGGTTGATCTCTTCTAGGACTGACCGGTTTGAACGCCTTGCAGTCCAAGGGACTCGCAGCAGTCTTCTCCAGCACCATAGTTCAAAGGCCTCAATTCTTTTGCGCTCAGCCTTTCTTATGGTCCAACTTTCACAGCCATACATTGCAACTGGGAAAACCATGGCCTGGACTATACGCGCTTTTGTTGGCAGGGTGATGTCTCTGCTTTTTAGTATGCTGTCTAGATTTGCCATAGCTTTCCTCCCCAGGAGCAAGAGTCTTTTAATTTCTTGGCTGCAGTCCCCATCTGAGGTGATCTTGGAGCCCAGAAAAATAAAATCTGTCACTACCTCCATTTCTTCCCCATCTATTTGCCAGGAATTGAGAGGGCCGGATGCCATGATTTTGGTTTTCTTAATGTTGAGTTTCAAGCCAACTTTTGCATTCTCTTTCTTCACCCGCATCAAGAGCTCTTTAGTTCCTCTTCACTTTCTGCCATTAGAGTGGTATCATCTGTATATCTTAGGTTGTTGATATTTCTCCCGGCAATCTTAATTCCAACTTTTGATTCATCTAGCCCTGCCTTTCTCATGATGTGCTCTGCATATAAGTTAAATAGGCAGGGCGACAGTATACAGCCTTGCCGGACTCCTTTCCAATTTTGAACCAATCAGTGGTTCCGTGTTCGGTTCTCACTGTTGCTTCTTGACCCGCATATAGGTTTCTCAAGAGACAAATGAGATGGTCTGGTACTCCCATCTCTTTAAGGACTTGCCACAATTTGTTGTGATCCACACAATCAAAGGCTTTTGTATAGTCAATGAAGCAGAAGTAGATGTTTTTCTGGAACTCCCTAGCTTTCTCCATGATCCAGCGTATGTTGGCAATTTGATCTCTAGTTCCTCTGCCTCTTCGAAATCCTGCCTGTACTTATGGTAGTTCTCGATCCACATACTGCTGGAGTCTAGCTTGTAGGATTTTAAGCATAACTTTACTAGCATGTGAAATGAGTGCAATGGTTCGATAGTTTGAACATTCTTTGGCATTGCCTTTCTTTGGAATTGGAATGTAAACTGACCTTTTCCAATCCTGTGGCCACTGTTGAGTTTTCCAAATTGGCTGGCAAATTGAATGTAGCACTTTTACTGCATCGTCTTTTAAGATTTTGAATAGCTCAGCTGGAATACTGTCACCTCCACTAGCTTGTTGTTGCTCAGATTTTCTAAGGCCCATTTCACTTCACATTCTAGGATGTCTGGTTCGAGGTCAGTGACCATCTCATTGTGGTTATCTGGGATGTTAAGCTCATTCTTGTATAGTTCTGTGTAGTTTTGCCATCTCTTCTTAATCTCTTCTGCCTCTGTTAGGTCTCTGCCATTTTGGTCCTTTATCATGCCCATCTTTGCATGAAACATTCCCTTCATATCTCCAATTTTCTTGAAGAGATCTCTGGTTCTCCCTATTCTGTTGTTTTCTTCTATTTCTTTGCACTGTTCATTTAAGAAGGCATTCTTATCTCTTCTAGTTATTCTCTGGAATTCTGCATTCAATTGGGTGTATCTTTCTCTTTCTCCTTTGCCTTTCGCTTCCATTCTTTCCTCAGCTATTTGCAAAGCTTCCTCAGAAAGCCATTTTGCTTTCTTGCATTTCTTTTTCTTTGGGATGGTTTTAGTTGCTACCTCTTGTACAATGTTGCGAACTTCCATCCATAGTTCTTCAGGCATTCTGTCTATCACATCCAGTTCCTTAAATCTATTTGTCACCTCTACTGTATATTCATCAGGAATATGATTTAGTTCATACCTGAGTGGCCTAGTGCTTTTCCCTACTTTTTTCAATTTAAGCCTAAATTTTGCAACGAGAAGCTCATGATCTGATCCACAGTCAGCTCCTGGTCTTGTTTTTACTGACTGTATAGAGCTTCTCCATCTTTGGCTGCAGAGCACATAGTCAATCTGATTTCTATGTTGACCGTCTGGTGATGTCCATGTGTAGAGCCGTCTCTTGGGTTGTTGGAAAAGAGTGTTTGTTATGACCATCGTATTCTCTTGACAGAATTCTATCAGCCTGTGCCCTGCTTCATTTTGTACTCCAAGGCCAAACTTGCCTGTTATTCCGGTTATCTTTTGGCTTCCTACCTTAGCATTCCAATCCCCCATGATGATAAGGACATCATTTTTTGGTGTTAATTCTATAAGGTGCTGTAGGGCTTCATAGAATCGGTCAATTTCATCCTCTTCAGCAGCAGTGGTTGGGGCATAGATTTGGACTACTGTGATATTGAATGGTTTGCCTTGGATTCGAATAGAGATCATTCTGTCATTTTGAGGATTGTATCCCAGTATTGCTTTTCCTATTCTTTTATTGACTATGAAGGCTACTCCATTTCTTCTGAGGGATTCTTGCCCACGGTAGTATACCTGATTGTCATCTGAGTTAAATTCACCCATTCCTGCCCATTTTAGTTCGCTGATTCCTAAGATGTCGATGTTCAATCTTGTCATCTCTTTTTTGACTACGTCTAGCTTGCCTTGATTCATGGATCTTACATTCCAGGTTCCTATGGAGAAAAAATCTTTACAGCATTGGACTTTCCTTTTATCACCAGATATATCCACAGCTGAGCGTCCTTTCGGCTTTGGCCCAGTCGCTTCATTCTTTCTGGCGATACTAGTACTAGCCCTCTGCTCTTCCCCAGTAGCATACTGGACACCTTCCAACCTGAGGGGCTCACCTTCCAGCGTCATATCTTTTTTCCTTTTAGTACTGTCCATGGGGTTTTCATGGCAAAGATACTGGAGTGGTGTGCCATTTCCTTCTCCAGTGGATCACATTTTGTCAGAACTCTCTGCTATAACCTGTCCGTCTTGGGTGGCCCTGCACGGCATAGCTTATAGCTTCATTGAGTTACGCAAGCCCCTTCGCCACGACAAGGCAGTAGTCCATAAAGGGGTATTTTGAATACCTATTTCTAAAGATTTATATCTATTTATAAATTTTTGCTTGCATATGGAAATAGAAAATTCAGTTTTCCTGGTATACATTCTGGTTAAATTTCACATTTCCTGATTAAATTCAGTGAAAACATTTGATTAGCATTTGGAGGAAGCTATGCACTTCTGATTTTGTAAGAAGAATTGCATATTAATGTGTTTAGGGGAAAGTAATGAATGAGCATCTTTAGCTGGTTGTGAAAAGGAAAAAAGCCATTTAAGTATTGTTCTTACCTTGAAATTTGTTCTTTTTGAAATCTGTGAGAGAAAGATGGGTTATACTGTGAAGTTACGGTTATTCGGCCATCTGCCCTCTCCAGAAGTTTTGGTCCTTTTAATTTGATTTTAAAGGATTCTTAATAATGTAAGTAGGCTAATCTTACTAAAGGTTTAATACATCTACTGAGAGTTGATAGTTTATCTCTGAATTTCAGTAACACAATGCTGAGGAACCTGGAATTGGCAAAAAAGTTTTCCCAAAACTGGCATAGGGATACTCTATTATGGTAATATTTGTTAAAACTATTTCTGAATTGCTTTGTAAATTGATAATTGGTATCAAATTGTGTTCAATTTATCCCTGGTTTATCTTGACAACCTTTGGGAAGCTGCCATAATGAAGACTTATAACACAATCATTTTTTCTTAGGTGGCTGGGAAGGTCAGGCGTCATTTAAAATGAGCTTCTTCAGTGGAGGTGCTATAGAGTTTGGACAAATGATGTTCAAGCTTGCAAGTGATGGTAAGACTTTCTTCTCATTTCTTCCCATCCCAGACAGATAAAAAAGCTGATTTCTGCTTTTGATGATAATATCTGATGGATGTACTTGCTGATAGTTCTTCAGTCATGCTTAAAGCCTAATGTATGGTCAGTGCTAAATGCTGCTATTCCCACATCTATTATATGTTTTTCATTCTTTCCAACAGAATGTTGGGGGAAAAATTACCAGCAGAATGTTGGGGGGAAAAATATGTAAAGAGACTTGGACTCTGTCTAACAGCAGGATAACTCCTCTAAACAGAATGGGTCCAGATTTGATATGGTGGAAGAAGCAGGAAAAATAAAAACTGGGTACAAAAATGGGTTTGGATTAGATTGGCAGCTGATATAAAAATAACATTATAGGAAAATATTCCTCAATGGCAAATGTTCATGGGGCGGTGACTTGGAATACTGCCTATTCTGTTCTAAGCCCCTTCTCTCCTTCCAGGCACATGACCCAGAGGGGAGCATGTGCAGTCTTCTCTGTGCATCCATGCATGCTTGCAAACACATTTTGTTATCTAGAATTAAATACAGACACTTCCAATGACCACTGTGAGTAAACAGTACAAAGCTATCTTCTGCATGCTTTCTGTAGTTTCCTTAATTTCACAATCAATTTTCACATAGAGTGCATTTCCTGCAAAAATATAATGAGCATGAGTAAACTAATTAGATAATTTGCTTAAATTCCCTCTAATTTTGGTTAATTTAAAACATAATTATTTAAACTTTAAGATTTCATGTTGTAAATTTGGCTTATTAAATATACTGTGTTTAGCTTCTAGAGGAGTACCAGCTCAGAGTTTTGGCTATGGGTATGCACCGCCACCTTTTCCTGGTGCTTATGTACCTCCACCAGGAAGCTACGTTATGCCACAACCAGCTTCTGGAGCATATATGTATATGTCTCCACAAATGAATGGATATGGAGTTGCTCCGCAGCCTATGGGATATCCATATGCACCTCCTCCAGGTGAGTTTTCAACCAACTTTATAAAATACTGTTATTCAATATTAAGCTGTCTCTTTTTGTTTAGGATAAGTTTTGGGCATTTTTATAATTCTTGTTCCTTTTTTCATCTTCATTTAACATATAAAATGTTTTTTTTTAAAAATCACACTTATAAATAAGATTATCTTGATAAAATGTGCTATAGCACTATAAAATTCGTAACTATTCCATGTAGATGAAATGACTTAAAAATGATCCAGATCTGAACCATATGAATAGCAACATTATAGAATTGCCACTAGGGAAAGGATAATATTTAGAATGATTGAACCTATTCATTGTGAATGGAATTAGCTGCAATATAGAATTAAGTGTTCGAGTATCATGTATGCTGTTCTGCGCATCCATTTCCCACAAATGATTCTGCTACTGTCCTATATATTGTATTATACAACCAAGAGAATAGATGTAGGATCTGCACAAGAATACAGATTGCACAATAGTCATCTCTCTTTGAATGTGTAAATTATTTGAAAACTACTTCCTGGTTGATTTTTAAAGAAGGTGCAATGTAAGAAAAATCCAGTTCGTGTGAACTTGCACCAACATAAATTCATCTGTGATATGCTTGTACAAATATGGATTTTCTTTCTTTAGGTGCGTATCCACCACCTCCGGGGATGAACTCCATGTACATGGCACCTCCTCCCCCATATCCTGGCCCTTCTGGTGCTGGCCCTTCAGCTCCTACTGACCCAGGACTTACAGGTCCTAGGACCTGGACAGAACCTGGAATGCCAGGTAAGAATCTAGGATTGCTTCTGCTTAGAACTGGGTTAGTTGCATTGTTCTCCCAGGTTTTTATTTTCTGGTACTTATTTTTAAGTAAGTCATTTAAAGAGCAATTATTGTCATGCTGATTTGTCCAAGCCATTTTCTTTCAATCAAGTAACTATTCTTTGAAACACCCATCTCTTAAACATAAACTCTAAAGATGAGTGCAAAAGTCCCCAGCTTCTTGTGCCCCCTCACCTCCAGTCTTATCTTTGTACTCAGAAATTGTGCAAGATTGTGCTATTGAAATTTTGTATTGACTCTGTTAGGCTTAGTATTCTTTTTTTTTGGTGACTCACCCCACCTCCCTCCTGCCCAAAAGCCGAAGTCAGAAAATCTGTCTCCATCCCTTCCTGTATCATTAGTGCTATTCCACTTATGGACAATCGCTGCCTAAAAATTAACAAAAGGGGAGAGCCTGTAGCCTTGCTTGCAAAAATGTGACCAGATTCTGTTTTAGAGATTGTACATTCTGTTTGAGCTGCTACTTGTTGAGATATGTTAGTTGACAGATCTTGATCTCAGTCTCTGATCAGTGTGGAATATTCTCCCTCTTGCCTACCCTAAACCTATATGGTTAATATATCTAAAAATGATCACCTTGTTTTGTCCAGATTCTTCCTTATGGAGGCTACAAATCTGTACTTTAATTTTATCTAGAAAATAATAAGAAGACACTAAGCGTTTGTGAATGTGAATAGTGTTTGCATTTGTTTTAAAAGTTCTCCCTGCCTTTTTTCTTTTATTAATGATGTAGGTGGCAATAAAGCAGCAGAGGCAACTTCCAGTGCATATTATAACCCAGCTAATCCTCATAATGTTTACATGCCTATGGTAAGGAATTTCTCTAGAATTGTATGTGGCAGAAGATGGGGCCAAGGGAGTAGTGATTTTCCACATTTTTTAGGTACCATTTTATCTGAGAAAATCGGGAGAGGAATTTCTGAGAAATATAATGAGTTCTGTCATACACTAACTCTCTGTTGTGCTAACCTGGTTATGTTTCACCTACCTGATTCTCAGTTCTGAGTTCTGTCATAGATTAACTTTCTGTCGTGTTAACTCGGTTGGGTCTGAACTACCTGATTCTCAGTTTTAATATTTGGTACAATCACTGAGTGGGAATAGACATCCTGTAGCATGTAGGTAGGGTCCCTAACCTATGAGCCGCAGCCTACTACCAGGCCATGGCTTTTTGGCCAGCGGGCCGCAGAAATGACTGGCTGGTATGCACATGTGTGTGCACACATTCCCCCCACTCACGCTAGCACCCGCACTCCCATTTGCACATGCATGTGGGCGCGAATGGGGCCGCTAACGCTGGGCAGGTTGCACGGCCCATTTGTGCATGCGCGAATGGGGCCGCTAATGCCGCTCCGGTGCATGTTGCCCTGTTTGTGTGTGCATGCGCACGCACCAATTTGGAAGCTGCTCTCCTTCCCTCCAGGCCATGAGCCCAGAAAGGTTGGAGACCTCTGCTGTAGCACAATGAGGAGCAGGCTTTGCTTTGTATTTCTAAAATTTTTGCTGTTCTGACATTTAGTTAAATAAAATCTGTAGCTAGTTACACGGAATATAATGTTTACATTATACCAAGAGCATCTGACATTTTTGCTTTCTATTATACGAGCATACTAACACTGGGAAACTTTGAATTCTACAGGAAATTACACACAAACACAGAGTCTATTTATTTACTTTAGGCTATTCCTCTCCTTTTTAAAAAAAAAATGAAATACCTATATACATGTTTAACTGTCTGTTTCTATATTATCTCATCCCATCCCTGTGATAATAACATTGATAGGTTGATTATTGCCATGATGAACTGTTCCTAAACCGGCCTTGCGAGTCTTCCAGTGGCACACCCTTTGTAACTGTGTCCATTTACCGTACCTTGTTGCTGACCACCTCTTTTTCTTTCCACCTCTCCAAGCATTAGAGCCTTTTGCAGAGAGCTGTGTCTTTGCATAAAATTGGCTTACCACATATTCCTAAGTAACTTTCCTTATATAGGTATGAAGAACATGACATCTTCTGACTTGAGGTCTTTCATTATAGTTGAACTCTTCTTAGAAGATAGGTCGCATATGAGACTGCGTTGAAATGTCTTACACACTGTGATTTAATATGAAATAATTTGAAGAATGCTGAGATATTTTAATAGCGGGCAGAAGAAAAACTCAAATGTTAAATAGTAAAGTGCCAATTTGATTAAATGTGCCTAATTTTCATTTTAGGATCAACCACCTCCTTATTCACCACCTGAGGAAAAGAAGAACAACTAACAGGAGTCTCAGCACCATCTTCTTTCTTGTGTTTCTTGACTTTGGAGATTTTACCATTGCTGCTGCCTCTTGGGGTTTTTTTTAATCTCTAGAGCAGGGGTTCTCAACCTGGGCAACTTTAAGACTTGTGGACTTCAACTCCCAGAATTGAAGCTGGCTGAGGAATTCTGGGAGTTGAAGTCCACAAGTCTTAAAGTTGCCCAGGTTGAGAACCTCTGCTCTAGACCATCCTGTGTCAGTAGCACGCATAGTATTGGATGGTGTTACACTTGCTGTTAAACTTTCAGAATGGCAATACAAAAGAAGTGACAATACTACTTTATTTGCTTTCTGTCCTAAGGGTAGACTAGGATTGCCACAACTGTTTTAGCCCTTTAATTGGTGGGAAAGATAAACTATAAAATACATATAAAACAACTTCAGTTATGCAGGGATGAAATATTCAGTGTACAAACAAAACACTTTAATGTGACACAGATATTCATGAAGGAGCATTTGGTTTTTCTGCATCTCTGTATGTTTAATACCATCGTTATCTGCATGGTATTTTCGCCCCTTGCAGATCAATGAATACCAAGGAATTTTCAGAGATTTCTATCTTTCCTGAAAAGTAGAAGGGAAGAAAGCTTTCTACTGATTCCTAGAAATTGATATCTCAAGAGGAAGTGATGACAGGGAGGAGATCCAAAAGATTAATCAATTCATTTCTTCTCAATAATTGTTGCTGCCTTCTGGTTTTCCATATTCAATGTGCTGTAAAGATTTCGCTTTCTGCAGTATTGGTTCTTTATCCTTGCAGAAGGATGCCAGGTAGATACAGTTTTACTGTATCTACATCTGAAGGAATGCACAGCAGGCTTTCTGCTTTCAATTTGGCTGCAGGGTCTATGTTTCTAAAATGTGTTTACGTGTCTCTGTGCCCCTAAAATGTCTTCTGCCTGTTGTAAGAGTAGGGCAGTGAGTCTTACTCAAATTAGTGCAAATTATCTGTCTATCATAACTATACAGCAGAAAGGAAACTAGCATTGAAACCATTTATGTGAACTGGAACCAAAGATTGGTTTATAACTGGCTAGATTTGAGAGGACTAAAATAAAATGTAATTAAGCAAACAGCATAATATCTGATCCAGAAAAAACAGATATTGGTTATTCTAAGAACAGGACTCAAAATCTTTGATCTGGAAATCAGTTCTTTTCTAACTTTTAGCAGCTAACACAACATCAGATATTATATCTAAGGAAAAACCTTTTTTTCTGCTACAGATATGGGAATTAACACTGCTGTATGTTGGTAAAACCTGACATAGATATCAAAGCAGTTTCTGTTAGTTAGCCCTCTATCTAGATTTAGCTGAGCTACACCATCAAGCCAGAGATAATGAGGTGGAAAAAATATTAAAACTGCAAACATGAGTAAGAAACTATATTTGATAAAGAGTTCTGCAATTGTATTGGAAGAAAAAAAACTAAAAATAGTTTTTTTGTCTATGAGCTAGAAAGAAGCAAGCAATATTCTGGGTTGTGTTAAGCTGTTATTTAATAATGACTTCTCTCGTATTTGTTTTCTTAAAAAAACTATTGTTCCACTAAAGTAGTGGCGACTGTAATTTGCATATAGGAAATCTCTTCTTTTCTTCCTTGATGTTAGGGCTGTACTTCACAGTGAAAAACTCAAGACGTACTGCTGTGTTACGGATACTTGTTTATTTTCCCTTTAGTACATGAGTTTATTATTCAGTAAAAAGTATGAAATAAACTTTTTTCTAACAAATACTTTCATTCTGAACACAAAAGCATAACTGTTTTCCATAACTAGTTAACTCTGTTTATAATATTTTTGAATTGCACTTTAATACAGAAATATTGAAACCTTTATATTTGTGTCTGTATTGGTATGTTGATAACTTATCATTTTGTGCAAGGATCAGTTGGTGTGGGCTGGGAGGAGATATAGTTCCTTTCTTTAAAGAATGGTATGGAAAACTAGCATCATCATCATCATAAAGAAACAGTGGACCACTTGGTAAACTGTTGCAAGAAGATTGCACAGACTGACTACAAGCAGCGGCATGACAAAGTAGCAACAATGGTGCATTGGAAGATCTGCAAAAAATATCATTTGCCTGTAAACAAAAACTGATGGGATCATAAAATAGAGAAAGTCATAGAAAATGATAAAATTAAACTGCTCTGGGACTTCAGAATTCAAACAAACAAGCACCTGCAACATAATACCCCAGACTTAACAATTGTCGATAAGAAAGACAAAAAAGTCTGGATAGTGGACGTGGCAGAACTGGAGACGAGAATAGACGAGAAAGAACTGGAGAAGATAACAAAATACAAAGACCTACAAATAGAAATAGAAAGACTGTGGCAAAAGCAAGCAAGGGTAGTACCAATAGTCATAGGCTCCTTGGGTGCAATCCCAAAACAACTGGAGCACCACTTGAACACCATTGGCATTGACAAATTCGCTATTAGTCAATTGCAAAAGGCAGCCTTATTAGGAACTGCTTCCATCCTGCGACGATATCTGTAACACCATCAAACATCCACATCTGCCTATCCCAGGTCCTGGGTAAGGACTCGATAGGTAGACAAAATGCCAAATCCAGTCTGAACATCTGGCTGACTGTGCGATGATCCATAATAATAATAATAATAATAATATAAAGTTGGAAGGGACCTTGGAGGCCATCTAATCCAACACCCTGCTCAGGCAGGAAACCTATACCATTTCAGACAAATGGCTGTCCAGTCTCTTCTTAAAAACTTATAGTGTTGGAGCATTCACCACTTCTGGAGGCAGGTTGTTCCACTGATTAATTGTTCTAACTGTCAGGAAGTTTCTCCTTAGTTCTAGGTTGCTTCTCTCCTTGATTAGTTTCCATCTGTTGCTTCCTGTCTGACCTTCAGGCTCTTTGGAAAATAGCTTGGCTCCCTCTTCTTTGTGGCAGCCCCTGAGATATTGGAATACTGCCATCATGTCCCCCCTCGTCCTTCTCTTCATTAAACTAGACATACCCAATTCCAGTAGCCTTTCCTTATATGCTTTAGCCTCCAGTCCCCTAATCATCTTTGTTACTCTTCTCTGTACTCTTTCTAGGGTCTCTACATCAGTGGTTCTCAACCTGTGGGTCAGGACCCCATTTGGGGTTGAACGACCATTTCACGGGGGTCGCCAAACAACGCAGTCCGCCATTTTTTTCCCCCTTTTCCTTAGCTGTGCTACTCCCTTTTCTATTGGCTTTTGAAAGCCAATGAATAGACCTCTTGAATAGAGTCTAATTCTATTGGCTTTCAAAAGCCAATAGGAATTGTCCAGGCTGTCTCTGCCCTGCTGAGCCCGTCAAAAGTCCCATTCTGCAAACGGTGCTGCAAGTTGTCTGCAGCGAAGGCGAGCTGTCTGGAAGTTTCTACCCCTCCCTGCTGAGCAACTACTGTAAGTAAAAGAGGGCCAGGGGCGGGAGGTGGGAGGCCGGCGGGCGCAGGGAGAATTGCTGGCGCGTGTGGGGCCCGGCGGGTGCCTTACCTCCCTTGGGCTGGGCCAGCTGGTGGCCCAGCTGGTGGTTGGCCTGCGCCATCTCTGCCGCTTGCCAGCTACGCCTCGGCTGGCGCAAGGGGCAGCACCACGCATGCGCGGCGCTCCCGGGCAGGGAAAGTCCTTGACTTACGACCGGTTGGGTAGTCCTCGACTTACGACCGGTTGGGTAGTCCTCGACTTACGACTGGTTGGGGGTCACGGCATTAAAAAGGTTGAGAACCACTGCTCTACATCTTTTTTACATCGTGGTGACCAAAACTGGATGCAGTATTTCAAGTTTGGCCTGACCAAGGCATTGTAAAGTGGTATTAATACTTCATGTGATCTTGATTCTATCCCTCTGTTAAGGCAGCCCAGCACTGTGTTGGCCTTTTTGGCAGCTGCAGCACACTGCTGGCTCATATTTAGGTGATTGTCCACTAGGACTCCGAGATCCCTCTCACAGTTACTACTATTGAGCAAGGTACCCCCTATACTATACCTGTACATTTGGTTTTTCTTGCCTAAATGTAGAACCTTTTTTCACCATTGAATTTCATTTTGTTAGATAGCGCCCAGTGTTCAAGTCTGTCCAGATCCTCCTGTATCCTAAGCCTGTCTTCTGGAGTGTTGGCTATTCCTGCCAGCTTGGTGTCGTCTGCATATTTGATGATTTCCCCATCTATCCCCTCGTCTAAATCATTGATGAAGATGTTGAAGAGCACTGGCCCAGAACAGAGCCCTGGAGCACCCCACTACACACTTAACAAGATTTGAATTTTGTGCCTGGTAAGATCTTCCTCAACCTTGACCTCTGGACGGCTTTATGACTAATTTATTTGGAAACAATTCAAAAGTAGTTTGCTCTTGCCTGCTTCAAACTTTGTATACATACATTCAAATCACATTCTGTATTACATGTTAGTGACCCAGATTAAATAAAACCTCTTAAATGAATGTGATGCGACACCCAGAAAAATACAGCATACTCCATTTAATCCTCCAAGGAAAGATGGAAGGCAAACAAGGTCCAGGCAGAAGAAGAACATCATGGCTTCAAAATCTAAGGGACTGGTTTGGACAAAACTCAGCAGCACTTTTTTGTGTGGCTGCTGATAAAAACAGGATCACCAACATGATCACCAACATCCAATAACGGATATGGCACAAGAAGAAGAAGAAATGAAACTTACATAGTAGAGTTACAATATAGAGTACAAAAAAAATAAAGCATACAAGATAAAAAAAATGTACAATTATGTTTGCACTATTTTGCTGTCAGCAATATGTTGAGTTTTACAAGCTGCAAAAATAAACTTTTCAAGTCCCATTAATGTTTATAGAGATCAAACTAAATAGATGCGGTGACTTAGACATTAGCAAGACTTAATTTCTTGCCGAGATTAATGTACAATATTAAACTGCCACCTCAAATAATCTGTTGATGGTACTTTCCATGCAAGGTCTTGTCTTGCCATGGCACTCCTGCTTGATCTTTCCATGTCTACTGCTGCCTTAGGCATTCTCTCAGTAGTTCATCTTTGAATGCCACCTTAACTGTGTATTTGTGGATGCTCTGAGTTTCATCCAGGACAGTGGCTTTGACACTCACCAGACCCTGCCCACCCTCTTTCTGGCTAGTGTACAATTTCTGCATGTTGGGCTTGGGGTGAAAATCTGTACATTGTGAGGAGCTTTCAGGTGTTTACCAGCAGCTTCCATGTCCTTTGGCCAGCTCACTACACTGGAAGGGTATCTGATGACTAGCAGAGCATACATTTTGATGGATCTTGTTCTTTCTATTGATCTGGCTGTTCAGAATCTGTCTTATCCTTGGTGGTACTTCCTTGCCTCATCATGGTTCTCGTGAATGGGATACCAAGGTACCTGAACTGGCCTGTACGTCTGTTATGTGGCCTGCTGGGAATTCCACCGCCAACAGTTAAAACTATTTTCCCTCTTCTGAGTACCATGCAGTCACAATTCTCATCTGAACAACATCCAAAGGCCTCATTGTAGATCTTTGTCAGGGGAATTAGTGAGTCAATGTCTCATTCACCCTTAGCATACAACTTGATGTCATCCATGTAGAAGAGATGACTGGTGATAGTTCGATTCTTGAACTTGTATCCATTTATGTCCTTGTAATTAGTTGGCTGAGGAAGTTCAAGCCTATGCAGAATAACAAGAGATTATGCATCACCTTGGCATATACCACAATCTTGTTGGGAGTTGGGGTGGTGGTGGTATGGGTATGTGTCTTCCTCAATTTCACTTCCTCCCAAACCTGGGTGTTTGAGAGTTCTTAGCTGTTCCTAACAATGTACTCATCTGTTGTTCCCGGGTTCTGTTGGAGCCACTTTCCCAACTTATGAGTTAAGCCTTGAGTGCTCCTATCATGACTGAACCATTTGGCCTTCACTTTCCACATCCTTTCTAATTCCTCTTTCAAGCCCTGGTACTTACCCAGCTTTTCTTACTCCTTCCTATTGCTATCACTTGGCACTGCTACATCTATCACCATTGCTATCTTCTGATTATGTCTACTACCATAATGGCTGCTTGATTGGCTAATACCTGTCCATCTTGATCTGGAAGCCTACAGCAGGAATCCCCAACCCCTGAGTTGTAAACCAGTACCAGTCCATGGCTGGTAGGAACCGGGCCACATAAGTGGCAGGTGAGTGAGCAAAGCTTTATCTGCCCATGCATGGAATCTAGGTTGCATGCAAAGTTCTCCCCTGGTCCATAGAAGAATTGTCTTCCACAAAACCAGTCCCTGGTGCCAGGAAGGTTGGGCACTGCTATCCTATAGGATCTTAGCTCTCTTATTCTCCTGTAGGATCTCCCATTGAGACTTGGATCTAATCTATATACTATGCACGTGTTCCTGTACAGAATGATATTTGGTTATGTCATTCAGTATATGCTGTTGTTGCCAGCTTCTTACACCCTGTTATTATGTGTTAGACTCTGTCTCAGACCTCTCTGCATAGTCTGCATCTTGGATCATGTCTAGACCACTACTTCTATAGATCTAGTCCTTATTGCCTGTACTTATGCTGCTATGATCAGTGCCTCAATGTTGCCTTTTAATCCAGATAAATATATAGATACAGATGATAGATGATAGAAGATAGATGATAGATAGATAGATAGATAGATAGATAGATAGATAGATAGATAGATAGATAGATAAGATAAATAATATAGGATAGATAGATAGACAGACAGAAAAACAGACTGTCATAGTACTAAAATTAGCTTATTGAATAGTGGGGTGGATAAAACTGAGGAAACTTATTTTGGTAATCTCCAGATGTGATAGACTATATGCTGGCTGGCAA